AAAATAAAAAAATTACCCCCCCAATCTACCAGAAGAAAAAAATTATTCCAGTAAACTAAAACTGTGTTACATTTCATAGAAATAAAGATATATAGTCATCTTCAGGTTTATTTACTCACTCATAACAGAGGGATACAAATATGTATTTTTAAAATATGCATGGGGACTGGAGAGATGGCTCAATGGTAAGAGCACTGACTGCTCTTGCAGAGGACCCATGTTCGATTCCCAGAGCCCACATGGTGGCTAACAACCACCCAAAACTACAGTTCCAGGGGAATCATCACCCTCTTCTCACCTCTGTGGGCACACAACATGAGTGCACTTACATGCAAGCAATATACTCATACACATAAAATAAATTTTTTTAAATATACATGGAAGGAAATCAGAAGTCATTATCAAACATTTATGAATATATTGATCACTTGCAAATGTACTAGGTATTCAAAAATCCTCAAACATATGTCCTTATTCATGGTATTTTCTTGATGGTGTACTGCACAACATGATGTAATACAAATGATAATAAGAAAATATCAAATCTTGCAGAAGATGCAAGACTTTGAAAAGTTTATGAAGACATACTGAAGAATCACTGAAATGACAACTAAGTCTTACCAAGAAGATCTTGCAAAATAAGATTACAGAAAAAAAATAGTTTGAATAGCCAAGGAGTCAGAGGTGCCTTGGTATTTGAAATATTTTCACAAATTTATGATCAAAGAAGACTAATATCACCTATATTATCAAATAATATAGTTTGAGAATATTATCCCCAAAGCAATTATTAACAAACATTTATAAAGTTAACTTCTTATCATTTATTATTTTTTATGTGTATGAGTATACTGCTTGTATGTGTGTAAGTGCACCCATGTCGTGCAGTGCCTGCAGAAGTCAGAAGAGAGCATTAATTTCCCTGGAACTGGAGTTATGGACAGTTGTTAGCTGCCATGTGGGTGCTGGGAACCGAAACCTGGTCCTCTGCAAGAGCAGCCAGTGCTCTTAACCACTGAGCCGTCTCTTCAGCCTCTAAAGTTACTTCTTAATAATCTTCTTTTGTTAAAAATATTTTATTGCTTATTAACTTTTATTCTGTGTGCATCAGTGTATTGCCTGCATGTATGTAAGTGTACCTGCGGAGGTCAGAGGAGAGTGTCAGATTCCCCTGGAACTGGAGTTATGGGCAGTTGTTGCCTGCGTGTAGATGCCAGGAATCAAACCGGGGTTCTCTGTGAGAGAAGCCTGTGTTCTTACTTGCTGAGCCATCTCTCTAGCCCCAGTAATTTTCGTTTTAAGATAAAGTACTAATCAAGGTTTTTTCCTGCTTATCTTTGGTCCTCATTTTATATAAACCACATTAAAAGAACCTTAAGGTTACTTACTATCAGATAGTGATAACCTCTTATTTAACATGCCTTCATCAACATAAAACATAAACAAGAAGCTATCATTTTTTCCAAATACGTAGACTAATGAATTCCATGAAAAGTCAGAATCATTGGAGAAGATTTCTTAGAGGAGATACTGCTTAAGATAATGAAAGATGAGATTTTGATAGCAGCGCTTTTTCAGAGGGAGACAGTAGATGGCAGCATTAATGAGGGAGTGACCACTAAATGTTAAGGTAGGGGTGGAACAGCTAGAGAAGGGATTAGTCTATTTAGGGAGAGCAAAGCAATGGGAGTTAAAGTTGGAAAGTCAAAGCAGAGCCAAATTAGAACTTGGACTAGTCTACAAGTTTACTCAACTGATTTAACATCTTTTCCATTTTGTTTGTTTTGATACAGGATCTTGCTATGTAGGCCTGACAGGCCTCAGCCTAACCATCTTCCTGCCTCAGCCTCTCAAGTGCTAAAACTACAGGATGCATCACCATGCCCAGCTTTAACATCCATTTTATTTATTTATTTATTTATTTATTTATTTATTTATTTTATTTTATTTTATTTTATTTTGTCTTTTTGAAGCAGGGTCTCCCTGTAGCCCCAGCTGTCCTGGAACTCACTATGTAGACCAGGCTGGCCTTGAACTCACAGAGATCCGCCTGCCTCTGCCTCCCAAGTGCTGGGACTACAGGCGTGCGCCACCACGCCTGACTTTAACATCCATTTTAAAGGAGTAATTTTCTTCCTTAGATTTATTTTCTTTTTAAAGATATTTTTATTTATTTTCATTTTATGTGTATGAGTGTTTTCCTGTATGTATGTAAATGCACAGTATGCAGGTAATGCCCATGGAGGCCAGAGGAGGGAATCAGATTTCCCTGGAACTGAAATTAGAGACAGATGTTAGTCACCACATGGGTGCTAGGAACCAAATTCTGGTCCTCTGGAAGATCAGCCAGTGCTCTTAACTACTGTGTCATCTCTCCAGCCCCTAGATTTATCTTTTAATTAAAAGCTGATTTCCAGGTTATAGTATAGAAAACTGAAGTCAAGACAGCCACATTATACTGGTTAGTGGGGGGAAAAAACATTGCTAAAATGATTAAATCCTTTTTTTTGGTCAAGCACCATATATTTTATCCTGTCACAGAAAAAAGATGTTGCGTTGCACAACAATTGCTGATATTATTAAGGATCTTGATTTTTCTCAGTTATATGGTTACTTCATTTGATATTTTTATGACAAACACAGATCACTTTTTAAAATATTTTATTTTTATTTTCTGTGTATGAGTGTATTGCCTGCATGTATGTGAGTGTACCCATGTTGTGCAATGCCCCAGAGGTCAGAAGAGGGCTTCAGATTCCCCTGGAACTGGAGTTAAGGACGGTTCGTAGCCACCATGTAGGTGCTGGGAATCGAATCCAGGTCCTCTGCAAGAGCAGTCAATGCTCTTAGCCTCTGAGCCATCTCTCCAGCCCCAACAAACACAGATTACTTTTAAAGAAAAATTCTGTCAACTTAAAACAACAATCCTAACATTTTGAATATTAACAAGTAACCTATGTTAAATATTGTTTTTATCTTCTCATGCAGAATGTAGTCAGAGAAAGATTTTACAGAGATGCTTTATTGCTTCACATTCCTTCATGTTTATATGAAGATAAAAATGCTATCAATGATGATGATGACTATAGGAGGCCATGGATAAGGGGTATGTTTGTTTGTCTTTCTTTTTTCTTTTTTTTGGGGGGGGTAGAAGGGGATATCTGTAGCCCCAGCTGGCTTGGAACTTGCTGTGTAGATCAGGCTGACCTTGGTCTCACAGAGAAATAATGATTGTGAATAGGATTAGAATACAGCCTAGGTGTGACTGAAATGTAATGGAATGTGATTTGAGTATGGGGATGAGAATTAAAGTGAAGAAGTAAGAGTGAATTTGGACAACTCAAGGAATGAATGTTTGTATGAAATAAAAACTTGTTTTGAAAAGAAAGTTTATTGAGTACCCTGCAAAGGGCAGTAGGCTGGGCAATCACAAGAACACTACCTACCTGAAGTAAAATTTTAAAAATTTACAGTCAGTTGCTGAAAGGAAATGGAGTTAAAGAGATATTTTTATTTTTCTCTTTTTTTGTTGTTGTTGTTTCTGGATTTTTTTTTGAGGGGGAGGGGAAGGTTGAGATAGGATCTCACTATGTAGCCTAGAACTTGGTATGTAGACCAGGCTGGCCTCAGTCTCACAGAGATCCTCTTACTCTGCCTTCTGAGTGCTGGAAATAAAGGGGTGCCCCACTATGGCTGGCACAGAGTTATTTTTCTAATGTGGTTTGTTTTTTAGTGTATGATAAACAGACACATTAAAGTGCTTGCTTGCAGGAAGAAAAGAAGATAACTTAGGGGTAAAGGGAAATGGAATAAAGAGCATGATTAGAAAAGTTGGAGTTCAGTAGGGGCCAGAAATTTCTTCCTTGAATAGATAAGAAGATAGGATTGAAAAGAATTGTGACAGGTGATAGAATTGATGCTAGAAGATGACTAATTTTTTAATATTAATTTTGCATGTAAAGGCAAAATCATAGAAAGAGAATAGATGAATAGGCATTGAAAATTTAAGGTACAATGTGTAAAACAGTTGTCTTATAGCAAGAAAGCCACTATTAGAGAATATACTATTATCAATTGTCAATGTTCAATGGGCATTTGAAATACGGTCATAATTTGAAGAGTTAATGGCTGGATGATTTTTCTATTTTGTAGTACATACATAGGAAAATGAGAATAAGGGTTTCCCTAAGTTAATACAAGGGAAAGAGAGGCAAGAGAGTCAAGTTTTTGTAAGGCACTGATTATGGGACTGACAGGGCAGCCTACACTGTATGAGAAAGGAAGTAATGGTATGAGAAAGCACAGTGATGATTAGACAAGGCAAGGGTTGAGGGACTCTCAGGTCACAGCCAAGTTGGAAATGCAGAGTAGCTTTCATCAAGCTGCTGCTCTGAAAGAGGGGGAAATGTTGGTCATTTCTTCCTCATTTCCTCTATTTAAAAATAAAATTTTGAAATAACAGCCAAGTTGTATTAGGCATTTATGTCAGAAATTTTTCTTGGCAATTTTTGTATTTAATCACAATCATTATAATACTGTGAAATAGCTGTTATTGGTCCAAATTTGTATGTCAGGGAGTGAGGCACATAAAGGTTGTGAGATTTAAAGCTAATATGTAGCAGCACAAGGATTATGTCTAGGCAGAGTGATTCCCTAACCTGTACTCTGAATCATTGTCATGTTTTCTATGAGGCATGGGATCAGATGTTAAGTGATTCCTCAAAGTAACAAAACTAGTAAGTAGTAACATTGATACAATACTCTGGCTCTGATTACAACTCATGGTAGAATACTCAGTTGCAGTATTCAGGCAGTAGACTATGATATGGTCACTCTTCTTAAGGAATCAAGGAAACAAACTACAAATGCATAAAAATTTTAATATAAAACTGTATATGATTAGCTGCCAGAGTTCTGCTGACACAGGATTATGGACCTTCAAGGAAAATACATCAGAATGAATGGAAAGTTTAAAGAAGGCCCTATGAGATAGAACATGGACTGTTGAACAGGACTAACTAGGATTATAGTGGTGTCTAAGCAAAAGAGAAGCTGTGAACATGAGGGAAGTATCTTCAAGTGACACTGTTCTGACTGTGGTTGAGTTTAGGGGAAGGAAGAATAATGATGAGAATTACTACTTAAATATTTAGAATCAGGTATCACTTTGGAAAGAGTAATAAAGATGACACCACAACATAAAAGATGGATGTTTTCCCACTTAAGGTGCACCCATTTTCCCCCTTTCTCCCTTACTAATACCCTTCTCCTATGTTCCTACCTCTCTTGAGGTCCTTCTTTCCCTTTATCCCCTAGGTTCAATTTGTAGTTTTTTAAGGGTTCTCCACACTGCTTTCCATAGGAGTTGAACAAGTTTGTAGCCCCATCAGCAGCGGATGAGTGTTCCCCTTTCCCCACATCTTCTCCAACATTTGGTAACATTTGTTCTCTTGATCTTAGCCAGTCTGACTCGGGTAAGATGAAATCATAAAGTGGTTTTAATTTGCATTTCCCTAATAATTAGTGATGTTGAACATCTTTAAAGATGCTTCTTGGCCATCAAATTCCATTATGTTTTTGTACCACATTTTTATTATCCACTCGTCAGTTGAGGGACACTTAGGTTGCTTTCATCTCTTAACATTGTGAAAAGAACAGCAATAAACATGGATGTACAAGTGTCTCTGCAATAGCGTGAGTTCTTTAGTTATATGCCAAGGAGTGGTATAACTGGGTCAAGTGGTAGGTTCATATGTAGTTTTCTAAGAGCTCTCTACACTGCTTTCCATAGGGGTTAAACCAGTTTGCAGCCCCACCAGCAGTGGATGAGTATTCCCCCTTTCCCCACATCTTCTCCAACATTTGGTATCATTTGTTTTCTTGATCTTAGCCAGTCTGACTGGGGTAAGGTGAAATCTTAAAGTGGTTTTAATTTGCATTTCCCTGATTATTAGTGATGTTGAACATCTTTTAAGATGTTTCATAGC